GTGTAAACAGAAAAATTGACCAAAGTGCACAAAAGCTAGAGAGATGTTAAATTATACACAACACTAAAATTGTCAGACTCTTTCTATTCAGTCCTCCCTTAATGATGGCATTCCAAGATAACAGAACAGCTCCAGGTTCGGCCTTTTTTCCATATGACATGCCCACTTCAATTAAATGGTCATTTTGGCTCAATCTGTCAAACAGCAAGACTGAATGTCTGTGGTTTTACTACTTGGTATTTACTACCCAGGTTTCACAAATAGTGTTTGGCATTTTGCCATGACAGAAGGGTAAAGGTTGGTGAGCGCTAAGGCTAAAAGGCAGCAAAGTCTTAATGGCTGATTGTGGTTAAGAAGGACTATCTTCCTCAGAAGTGGTGCATATATTATTTGAGAAGACACAAATATAAAAACAATATCAGGTGTAGACATTTAAATTAAAATTACAGTTCTCACTGTAATCTCCACTAAATGGTATCTATTGTCCACTATTACTCTTTGGAGCAGTAGTCTAAAAATATATATATTCTTCATAACATGTAAGAAAATTATCAGCTTTGAAAAAACACACTTACTAATGAATTTTACAATAGGAAAGAGAAGCTTGACTATTTACCTATGTAGTTGGTGCCTCCTGAGTGATAAAACAGGGATAAAAATTTTGTAGAGCTAACACTTGTGTCATTACTATTTGCTTTGGTCGTCTTTTGCATTATTTCAGTCAGTAGGCATATCTAAACTTTCTATATTTGCCTGCACATTTCTCCAAGTGAAAAAGAATTCTAAATATTTTGAGCTGGAATTTTTCCTAATTCAGTCTCAATATTTGTCTTTTATCTCGTATCAGTACAATTATTCCTTCGATTATGTGAATAAGAACAGAATACATTTACCCATTTATATTCTCATTTGAAGTTTATGTTCATATAAACACAACAGTAGAGAAAATTCAACACTTCTTGTATCACGTACCCCTTCGGTTCAAAACTTCAGCCATATCTGAAGACAATCCATGTTAGAATGTGTGAAAATATTCTGCACATTCACGAAAGAACACAGGTAGATATTGGCAGGGGGCAGTCCAGCTAACACCCTGCTGTGGCTTCTCCCAGGCCTATCACAGGAGCTGTCAGCCCACAGTCTGATGTGGAGTCATCTCTACAATCACAGGGGCACCAGGACAACTTAGAGAAAGGGACACTCTCTTCCAACCCCTTCAATGGTGTCCCAGGAGAGCCTCAGTCCCAGTGTCTGGGCATGAAACCCAGCGCAGTGAGTCAATTTGGAGTATCTGCCATGCTTCTGGGGTTTGCTCTCTAAGGGTGTCCAACACAATATAGGGCCGAGGGGAAGAGAATTTTGTAATTACATAGGATTTATGAGATGTTTAGGGGAGGAACTAAAGACAGGGAAAGACATGGATCTCCTTCTCACTTGGGGAGGAACAGGTGTTAGAAAACAGAGGGATCAGATCTGTGCGCACACGTGGGTAGGGGGTCTAAGTGCCAGTGACTGGACTGAGACCCAGTTGGGGTCATGGATGACGGCAGCTGGAGATACTGAAGGGAGCAAAATTGTCAGTGAGTGAAATGGGACCAGGGGTCAAAAGCCCATGTCTCTAAGTGCAGGGCCACATGAGCAGCTGAATGGTAGAGGGACCATAGGAGTCCCAGTCAGCTGTCAGACACACCGTGAGGTGCAGGTATCTCTAGGGGTGAGACCTGCTAGGGTGCATGTGTGTCTCAAAGGGGCAGACAGCTCTGTGTGTGCATGCGTGTGTGCATATGGGAGAGGGTCTGTACCAGCAGCTGCAGCAGGGCTGCAGCTTCAGGGTCTCATATGTCCATTTGCCAGCAAATGGGGAGACTGGGATTCAGGGGCAACTGCTGAGCAGAGAGAGTGTGTGAGCCCAACTGTTGGAAGCATCTACCATGTACACATCTATACACGTATATAGTCCCACTAGTGGATACCCATCCTGGTGAGCTAGAGAAGGGAGCCGGATGAGGCTGCTGGTGCGGTGTCTGTGCAACCATCTGTGCAGCTGGGCATTATATGTGGTGTATACATGTGCTCTCTCTCTGTGTGCTGACCAGAAGCACATGCTGAGCCTTGCTGCTGGTTGGACCTGGGGCCATGCAGCTGTGGCACCTTCACCTACACTGAGCTGTCATATCTGGTCTGATTCTCGTAATACTCCTGTGTTATAAAGCTAAGTCAAAAGCACTCAAAATAAGGTTTCTCTCTCATTTTCATTAAGTGATACTTAAGATTTAACCAGCTCAGGGCATGATTACTAGTTTCCAATACCTATCACTTAGAAAATAGTTGAACAATTTTTCTTCTATTTTGTGCATCACAATGTAACTAGGCGATAAAACCCTATCAAAACAGCAACAAGTAAACAAACTTGTAAAGTTTGGTAAACTAAAAATATCTAGGACTACCAGAAAAAACAAAACAAAACAAAATGAGGCTGCATAGAAAAATCACATGAGAAAACCAGGTTGGAGCAGACCTCCAGGGATCATCCAGTTCAACAGCATGCTTAATTCAGGGACAACTTCAAAGATAGATCAGGTGAAGCTTTTTAAATCTCCAGGGCTGGAAAAGCAAAAGAGAGGATGTAATAGGAAGAGGAAAAGGAGCCACAGACTTATAAGCCTTGGCAATGTGAAAAAAATAAGAAAAGAGGGGAACACAAATGCAGACATATATTGGAGGGTTAAGAAACCTAAGTTAGGAGAGGAATCTGAGACTGGTGTGATGGAGAGATTGAGAAAGAAGTGAAATCATCACTGAGAGTAGGAGACCAGATTAGTATTAATTTTTTTAAGTGGCTGAGGGACGGTCAGAAAAACTAAGAGGGGTTACCATGGTGAGAAATTTGGATGGAAAAGAAAAATATTCAAAGAGGAAGGTGAAGAAAAACTAAAAGATTCAGGAAATAAATTCAGATCTTAAGAAGAGATGCTAGAAAAAGAGAAAGCCAAGGAATCAAAAATCAGCTCCAAGGCTTTGAGTCCATATTGGTTGCATAGTAGACTTTTGCTGGGGAAAGGGAGAAAAAGAATAAGATAAAAATTACCCTTTCTTCTAAGAGGGAAGCTGACCAATAGGATAAGTGTTAAAGAACAGCAGTTTAAAAAAAGTACAAAAAGTGCCTTTTGTCCTTAGTTTACATTTGTTCTTTTTGTTTAAATTTTCTAGGACATCACTTTTATAGTTAAACAAATCTAATATGACCAGAGGATAACAGATTGAATTGGAAGTACAGGATACAAATTACCAAATAATATCAGATCATCACCGAGTAATTAGCAGTACATCGTTTCTTCTGCTGGAGAAAGTGACTTGATGCGATTTGTACAGTACTTGTAAGCAATTAGCTTTTAAATGAAAAATGCAAATGGATAGTGTTTTATTTGCTTGTTCTTGAGAAAATAAGTAGGAAATCCTTTGGATTCCTTTCTGAGTTTATATTGATGTTCAATTTAAATATGCCTAAAATCAATAATTAATTAGTAAATCTTAAATTTTCAGGAAATTTCCAAATTTTTCTAATGTATCTTTTCTTACATACTTGAGACATATATTTTAATTAAGATAATGTTCCTGCAAGCATAAGAAAATATACAGTAATACAATAATTAGAGTAAATGAATGTGCTGTTTTAAATATATTCCCAGCCTTTGATAGAACTGACTTGATTTTTCATGTAGAAATACTTAATTGGAGTGCACCTACCAGAATATTAGTACTTCTCTATGAATGGGTATCTCAGACTACATAATGCAGATTTGCATTATTGATGTTGAATTGATTGTTTGTATAACTTAATTGGTTTCTGCACTATTTTCCTATTGCCCCAGTATACCACATATATGCCACTGTGAGTGTATTATGGTACTGTGATACATGTTAATGGTCATAGGGCCTGATTCATCCAGGTCAGTCCTATTTTTTCAAATCTTTTTTTGAAGTCAGTAAATATTCTGCATAGTAATTTTTAAAAAGTGAAGAAAATAAAAAAAATACCAGAGGGAAAATGTGAGCTAGCTCATACATGTTCCTCAGCATCTTCTGGCCGTTCTAATAATACATTCACACATCACAGTCTTAATGTTTTTTTTCAGAGAATTATATTCTTTTGACTTGAACGTTTTCACTTCTTTGGTATTTTCTTCTGAAATGATTTGTCACTAAGTGCATGATGATATTTTTTTATGTTCAAACACTGATTCCTTGCAAAATTCACTGCATCAGTTTGAATGCAATTCACTGTATGGTAGCACATATCTATGTAATGTCAAACATTATTGGCCATCAGCTGCATTGTTGTCATTCTGTGCATAAAGAGAATTCTATTTAAAAAAAAAAGAAATCATGCTAAGCGATTATACCAAATCCCGGCCCAGGACTTTTTAAACAATAATCTTATATGATGGGCTATTTCCTACTTCACTTGAAGAAAACAAAGTGTGTCGAAGCTACCGTAAACTTTGAAGTACCAAAGTGTCACCCTGCGGCTAACAATTCCTGTGTGAATGGCTGTGACCCGAGCCTGATTTGAAAAACACATGTGTGATGATTCAGATAATGGATTTCTGGTAAAGAATATTTTATGCAGTACAAGAAACGATGATATCAAACTTGCCAAAAGGAACTGGATGTCACATAACACTATGTACCTTGATATGCCTTGATTTCCTGCCTGATTCCATTCTTTAAAGAGCAGAATTTGCCAATGATGCACAGGCACTCTGAGAGATCAAAAATTGTATAGGGGTTACATGCACTGGCCACAGATATTATTCTGATTTTGGAAAGGAAAGAATTGAGGTTAAGTGATCACTTCCTGCTTCTGTGGAGCTAGAAAGTAACTGGAAGGGATTGCTTCGTGGTCACGCTGGCTTTTGGGCAGTCTGCCCTGGTAGAAACATGAAAAGCTGTCATAAACTCACAGGATATGGCTATGATCTAAAATACTAAGCACGTACATGGCAAAAGCTCCTTTGCAGGGTTTCTTATTGCCACTTCTCTCCACGTATCACCTTCATCCTTGTCTTCTGCAAGCCAGCACTCTATGGGGAGACAAATCTCTTCATCAGAACGAGGGACTACTCTTTCAAGTTTGACTTCCTTCAGGTACCAACTGGGATCATTTCCAGTGTTGTCATGGCCAATGCGGATTTTATATAGCTGCCCAAGATCTCCGAGATTAATCTGTAATGAAGAAAAAAAAATACAGATTTTAATAACAAATTACGGTGTTGTCTTTTAGCCATCCTTATACCGAGCATGCAAGCTAAATGTACAGCTAATGTGGACTAGAGTAATGGGGTTTTTTAGAAAATGAAGCCTTAATATACAATGAATCCCAGAGCAGTCAAGCAGAAGCCTATGGAGTAGTCTGCAAGTGTAATTTTATTGACTTCAGTACCATATTATTTAAAATGACTAAAGGGCTCAGACATTCCAGTCTGTTTTTAGACCTCTTCACAGCATCCAGTTTCTAGTGTTATAATGTAAATCTCTATTTCTAGACAAATACTTTAACAAGCAGAAATAAGTTCAGTCATTGCTGCATGAAATAATATGTTTGGAATCCATACAGTTATCATCAGCAGAGTGCTATTAACTATTCCTACCACTTATCAGTCTGCTAGGTTTTTCTTTGACTTCTATTTTCATGTGCACTGGTGTCAGGATTAACTGTTTCCGTAAGTGCTGATGCCACACTACAGCAAACTTAAACAATAAAACATGACTATGTCACATTGAATACTGCAGCCTTGAAATAAGAGCAACTATGTTTTAGGTTGCAGAAGTTTTTTCAGCAATGTTGATGGCAAGAACCTACGCACAAAAGCAGGGTTGACCACTTCAATTTTCAGTACTGTGTTTGAAAGATCATGGTATTTGGGAAAAAAAATCAGTAAGAAAAAAAACAGAAAAAATAGTTGTTTCTTTTACCATTTTACCAATTTTGTACTTTCTCTCATCAAAACAAAAAACAAACAAACAAAAAAAAGCTTGACAAACAGTTAACACCAACATTGTCCCAGTAGTCCAAATCAACAAAAAAGATTAACTAAGGTCTGTGTTTGAAGGTCTGCTGTGTCTGTTCTGGCTGGTAATATTGATGTCTGCCCCAGAGTGAGAGTTTCCCCTTCAATATTCTTTACAAAGGAAGACAACAAGGTAATGTTCCTTGTCTCTGTGGAGCCAGGAAATGTCAGAGACACTAGAGACATATCACTTTCACTCTTTTGTCAAAACATTTTCCAAGGCAATGACACAGGTTAGTGTAACACTGACATTTCTTGGTCACAATGACCATCACAGAAGAGAGTCTTGCAGCCCTAATTGAACACCATTTCCTTGAATCCTTGCGGTGAGCCTGGCACAATTCAGTCTCATAGGGTGAGATCATGACACCTATGTTAGTAGTATAAAGTCTGCACAGAGTCACACTTATGACCATAGTAGTAGGTTTTGCTATATTAAAACAGTATGTTAAAGTAAGATGTGCTAACTGAAGGTATAACTATAGCATTAATGCAATAAAATCATGTACATCAAAAATATGTCGCTAATATTCACAGTAGAATTACAGCAACAGATAAAAAGCACTCTGAAACTAGCCAAAAATGTAGTCAGCACATAGGCTAAGTTGCCATAATAACCCTGTCACCCATCTACAAAACAGAGACCACTGCAGTGGGCAAGGGACTGCTAAGGTTGCCTTGCAAATAAATAGAAAAATATATTAGAACTCTCACCCTTTATCTCACCCTTTATTGCAAACTGAATAAAGTGTGATGCTCTCCTGAAATCTAGGCACTGGCTGCTATTTGCGGTGTAGAAGTGTTAAAGGGCAATTTAGTAAATAAAAGATTGAAACCTTGTGACCTCATCTCCATGATTAAATTCTGGTATAACCCTGTTGAAAGAGAAGCATCACAGCCATTTTTTGTACAGTATTCATTGCCATGATTCTTGGTCAGGACCAGGAAACTCTGTCAAAGAGCCTCTTTCAACTTCTGAAGCATCTAATTAGTCTTTTGTCTATGAAGCAAACTGAAACTATTGATAAAGTAAATTGTACATATCTATAGTACACATCATATGAGATGGCTCAAAAGTGAAGCAATAATTTTCTTAATTATATTTATTTATCATATTATGCTAAAGTGAATTTTTTTTTTTAGAAGAAAGTCTAAGGTGGTAGGTATATTTCCAGGTGAATTCCCCTGCAATGACCAGGGACATCTTCCACTAGACCAGGTTTCTCAGAATCCCATCCAAACTGATCATCAATGATTCCAGGGATGAGGCATCCACCACCTCTCTGGGCAACCCGTTCCAGTGTTTCACCACCCTCATTGTAAAAAACTTCTTCCTTATATCTAGTCTAAAACTACTCTCTTTTAGTTAAAAGCCATTAGCTGTCACCCTATCACAACAGACCCTGCCAAAAGTCCATCCCCATCTTTCTTATAATCACAAAATCATAAAATCATCAAGGTTGGAAGAGACCTTCAAGATCATCTAGCACCACAATAATCACCCCTAAACCATATCCCCAAGTGCCACATCCAGACACTTCTAGAACACTTCCAGAGACAGTGACTCCACGATGCCCCTGGATAAATTATTCTAATGTCTAACCACTCTGCCAGTGAAAAAAATTTTTTCTAATATATAATCTGAACCTCCTCTATTGCAACTTATGGCCTTTTCCTCTTGTCCTTTCACTTGTGACTGACCCCCATCTCACTACAACCTTCTTTCATGAAGCTGGTCTAGACAGACAACATCCATAGCCTTTCCCTCACACTGAGTCAGGTTGGTCAAGCAGGACTTGCCTTTCAATCAACACATGTTGATTGGGCCTGATCCCCTGATTGTCCTGCATACGTCATGCAATGGCACTCAGGGTGATCTGCTCCATGACCTTCCCTGGCACCAAGGTCATGCTGACAGGCCTGTAGTTCCCAAGATCATCCTTCCAACCCTTCTTGCAGATGGGTGTTACATTTGCTAATTTCCAGTCCCTTTTAAAATAAGGAAATAAGCCCCTTAAGTACTGAAATACTGAAATAAAGTCTCCCCAGAGCTTTCTCCTCTTCAGGTTGAACAGCCCTAACTCTCTCAGACTTTCTTCATAGGAGAGGTGCTATAGCCAGATGACCATTGTTGTGGTCCTCTTCCTCCTGCTGTTCCCCAGCAGACCTATTTCCTTCTTGTGCTAGGGACCCCAGAGCTGGATACAGTACTCCAGGTGGGGTCTCACCAGAGCAGAACAGAGGGGCAGAATCACCTCCCTTGTCCTGTCAGCTGCATAGCAATGGATGTTTGGCAGACCACTGGTATAACTGAAGAAAAGAGATCACAAAAATAACCACATGTAGGAGACCTGAGCAAAAAAAAAAAAAAAAAAAAGACCAAAAAAAAAAATAAACCAAACAAAAAAAAAGGGAACAGAAAGCTCTGTCCAGACCATTAGGTTTTTGAAAAATCTCAAAAATAATTAAAAACACAGAACACTGCCAAGCTGATAACATGCTTAGTAATACAGTTAATATTTTTGCTTAATATTCTGTTTCTGACTAATTGTTTATGGGTGTTCTTGGGGGGGAAAATTGTGTTTATTCTTGCATGGAAATTAAGACAAGAATGTCAATGGCAGAGAGCAAATCAACTGTATATGATGTTCTGGAAGATGTATAATGCAATTACAAATTTAGTTTCAGTACCAGTTTCATTTTTGGAACAATTTATCTTGCTGTCAGATCAGATATCACATTGGTCTCTCAGTGGTATTGACTTGCTAACATGTTAGTTTTTGTCAATTGGAATCCTGTCAAATGTATGTCAAATTTTGCTTTTGCAGTGAAACGCAGAGGAAAACACTCTTATAACACAGTAGAGCTAATGATATTCTTTTGACAACATAAACACTGTGTCTTAAGGTTGTTTCTTCATTTCTAGTGTTGACTAAATTGCCTTGAACTTCTGCATGACTTGAATGCAACCTGGCATCTAGAAAACTGTTTTCACAGCCAGAACATTATGAAAAAAGTTGTAAAACAAAGTTGACTTTGTTGCCCTCATAAACAACCTGCTTACAGAAACCTTAGTCTAGCTGCTCTGTATTCCAGCACCACAGATGCAAAAGTAACATTCAATTTTATATGGAAGTAGCCATTCTGATAAAAATTCAATAAAAGTCAGAGGAAAGAATGGGTCTCAGGACTAAAGCATTGTTCTGAAAATCAAGCAACTAGATTCTACTCCTGAATCTGCTTTAGGCTTTCTGAGAAACATTACATAGTTCACAAGCCCTCTTTGCTTCACTTTCTCAACTACACAACAACAAAAACATGTACGTGTCTCCTACAGGGACATTGCAAAGCTCTCTTCATAAATGTTGAGATCCTCAGGAAAAGACACAAGTCGAAAATTCTGTATTTTTTTTCTAAAATTTTCTGTTCATTTTGGGTTAGTTGCTGTTTTTCCATAACTCAATTGAGAGATCAAAAATTATCAATTGTAATTCTCTTGACTAACTTTGTAAAGCTCGTATTTTTGCTCAGGGATGATGTGATCTCATTTACAGTCACCTGGTCTCTCATATAATCATGCAATTTCTGTTGTGACTAGCAGAATTTGTGCAGACAGAATAAGAGAGGAATAGCAACAACCTTCTCAGCAAATATGTTGTAAATCTACTGAAGAATGTGGCGAATATAATAAAGACAGTCCTCCACTGCACTGTGAGTGGATATTGCAGGAACTCAAACCTCCTAAATGACAGCGGTACAGGGAGATAGACGGCTGATGTATTTTGGGATAGTTCTACACTGCCCTGAACAAACCTGTTAAGAGTCCTAGCCACCGTGCACCTGAGTTAGCACACTAGTCACTCAGACTGACCAGTGTCCTGCTTCTCATGGCACCCTGCTGCTGGTGAGCACTGACCAGCAGTGTTGCAGCACAAGTAGCAGCTTGAGACTAATCTTTGCTGTTCTCTGCAACAGAGCATTGTCAAAATCATCAGACATCAAGTCCTCAACCAAAGCACATGGTCCAACCATTGCAGAGTTTCAAACATCTGTTGATTAAACATATTAAAAATTGGCTTGCAAAGCGTCTTCCTGTAAATTCTTCAGCTTGATGTAGTAGAGTTTGGACATGGATGGAAATTCAAAGTCGGGTTC